TGAACACCTCGAAGCAGTCCACAATGGCAGCCACATTATTCCCAAATGACTCCACAAACTGATGTGGCATACTGGTCAATATGCATTCCCTGCTTGGCCAGTGCACTAATGGACACAGCTGTGTGTACATCACACCAAGGGTATGGTGAAAGGCATCAGCGACTGTTGTCCGATGTACTCTAAACAGATGGCTGAGGTGCTGGATTGGATGGTCTAATCTGAGGCGCATTAGAGTCAATAGGACAAGCTGGAAGGGTGAGAGCTTCCTCATCCTTCCTTGAGGCAGATATGGAGTGAGGGTGAGTAAAAGTGTCTGGAACAAAGCAAAGTTTGGAAGCCCCGTGTAGTACTTCACTGTATTGTCATGACGACTCAGAAAGTTTTCATTCATCTGGTACTCATCAAGCTCCCGCTTCAGCTCTCTGTTTTCTTCTAGAAGATTGTTGATAACATCTTGTCTAGATGAGCAGAGTCCACATTCCATGTCCTGGGCTGGCGATGGAGGCTGCTGGGCCGGCGATGGGGGCTGCTGGGCCGGCGATGGGGGCTGCTGGGCCGGCGATGGGGGCTGCTGGGCTTGGGCTGGCGATGGAGGCTGCTGGGCTTGGGCTGGCGATGGAGGCTGCTGGGCTTGGGCTGGGCGTGATGACTGCTCCAGATGCTGGGTCCTGCGCTTTACTTGCCGCTGATATCGCGCTCCATCTGTTTCTTTAACATTATTGTGGCCTAACCGCAAGGATGGTGTCCAGTCAGGGTGATTCTCCAACATCTCATATGATGGTTTACGTAGAACAGAATAATCTATGTAGTCAATGCTTTAAACTGGCAACAAGGTAGCATAATGTCATGAACAGAATGTCAGGGATGAGGCAGCAGACAGAGACGGATCGTGGTGCGCCAAACTCTGGAAGTTTATTTAAGTTTCTCTCAAGTTCCAGTGGTTTCAATTGTTTCTTTCTCTAGGACAGAATGGAGTCAGTACACAGTTTATATAGTCATTGTCACGTCACACATCGAAAGACGTACGTGTCACACAGAGACAGTCACATCATAGTCAAAATAATCAGAGTCCTTGTAGAGTCCTGCACGTAGGCCATATTGCTATCTAATACTAACACTCACCCCTTTGATCACATAATCACATGTGATCACTCAATTTGATCAATCAATAAAGTGAAAAAAAAAATGAAAAAATACTTTTAAAAAAATATTAAAAAACAAAGAAAATGTATGCATTAAACTCATAATCATCAAATCAATATCAGTGGATTTTATCCTCTATCCTGGGAAAAAACAAACAAAAATAAACAAAAACAAATCAAAAATAAACAAAAAAACAAATCAAAAATAAACAAAAACAAACACTATTGGACACACAAGAACTCAGCAGATTCAGTCAAAACACAGACAAAAACGAGCTGAGTCTCAAATTAGAAGCTAATTTCACTTTTCTTACTCTATACTTTTATTCTAATGCTAATTATTTACACTACACTTCACTTATTTCACTTTATTATTTTCACTATTCAATCTTAGACTGTGTACTTTACTTTTACTATTCACTATAGTTTAAAACTATTCTAATCTATTTACAAATATGTTTGCATATTTGCTTTTATTGAGCCATATTCTTAAACACACATTTTAATCTAATAAATCTCTCTGTGGTATTATACTCTCATTATTAGTGGCATATTGTTAGTGGGATTTTGCTCCATGTCTATTCTACATTCTCAGGAATAAAACTGTGAACACAGTTAGACAAATGGTTAATTTGAACATTATTATGGCGGTCAGTTTTCCAAATACATTTGTTGAACCAGGAAGTGCTGTCACTTCCTCCTCTCAGGCAGTTTGGGATGAATGTACATCATTAATCAAATTATTATCCTTACAAGAGCTAATCTATTTTAGCAGGTTTGGGGTTGGGGTCAAAGTTCTACACTGGTGTTTGATTCTCTAATCTGTGCTGGAAACTTCTCAATATCTAAATATCTACTCTTTTGTTTTCGGGCTACACCCAAATACATCAAAATGCTTTTAAATGCTTTTGAATCTCTGTCGGTTCTAATCTATCTCATTAATCTAAGCTATACTCAAACTTTTTGCATTGTCAACATTCACTCATCTTTGAACACAAGTGAATTTGGCAAGTATCTAATAAAACTGTACATAAACTGTATTTAACTTTATCTACTTTTGAAGTAAATGCTTGTGAACCTATGTTGAAGGAAATGCTCCTTTTACCGTTTGATATTAGCTCATGGCTAGAAATATTCTCTATTTTTGAAAGCATCTATGGTTGATGCATTTATCTATTTCTATTTCTCTCTATTGTGACTCCAAAGTTCGGTTGCAGCCAAGGCATATTTCTAGTGTGTGACTTCTGTCACTTATAATATCTCTAACATTATTCTGATTCTAATGTTTTACCTTCTCTATCAGAAGGATAACATTGTATAGTTAGGATTTTAACTCTTATGTGGAAATGTGTTTATGAACAACAAAGGAAGTCAAATTCTACTTTTTTACTACTATTTAACATCTACTAAAACGCTACAATACTCATACTTTATCATTTTAAAACATTTTAACAGTTGCTCAGTCTCCCAGACTAAAAAAGTCAAAGTTTTTGTCTGTCAGATGTCTGAATACTTTACTACTATACTACATCAATAATCACTTTTAACACAGATTCTAATTTAAATGTTTGAAAAACGGCTTTTGTAACTAAAATAAAAAATACATGAAAAAATTCTCACAAACAGCTATGAAATATATCAGAGATACAATAATGGACTCAAAAAATAAGCAGCAGATTTAAAAAGAAAAGCAAAGCTTTTTTGTTCTAATCTTTGGATTTCAAAAAACGTAATAATTCAAAACTTATTCACTAATGGGCGGCACGGTGGCTGAGTGGATAGCACTCTCGCTTCTCAGCAAGAAGGTCCTGGGTTCGAATCCCGGTTGGACCAGGGCCTTTCTTAGTGGAGTTTGCATGTTCTCCCCGTGTCTGCGTAGGTTTCCTCCGGGTGCTCCGGTTTCCCCTACCACTAAAAATATGTACAATAGGTCTGGCATGTGCCTCCTGTACTGGCGCCCCCACTCCCAAAAATAACAATTGTAAACTGCTTTGAGACTCCGATGTGCAGTGAAAAGGCGGTATATAAATAAAGATTACCTACTACTTACTAATGGTGTTTAAAAACGTTTAACTGTGTCATAACAATGTTGAATCGCAAATTTCGCAAATTTAACGGAATAACAACTATGAAAAGCCAAAATCCTAAACGCAGTAGCTCTCCTTTAAATCAGAGCAGCAGCAGCAGCAGCAGGGCGGGGGTGGGGGTTCCTGTCACACAGACGCGCACACACAGCCAGAAAGTAGTGTTTTAGCAAAAATGCAAAAACAGAAAGAAGAATAACTTTCAAGATTACTTTTTTAAGCGAATATAACTGATGTCGTAGTTTATACTTTTGTCATCCAAGTCTAGAAGTGATCACTTTCCACACTTGTAACAAAAGGCACTCTTACTCTTTAATTTCCCTTACGCTTCTATTTTATCGAGGTAGCAAACTAGTTTAAACTCAAAATCTCTTTCTAAAAAACAAAAACAACTGTTGGATACAACCCGAGCCGCGACAAAAAAATGTTAATAACTCACAAAAGCTAAAGCTCAACTGTAGATAAAACTCGGCAAAAATGTAAATAACTCGCAAAAGCTCTCATAGCTCAACTTTAGATAAAACTCTGCATTCTCGAAAAAACGAACTAAAAACAAAAAACTCCCTTTTTCTGTATGTAATTTAAACCGTGATCACTGAAATATTGTTGCTTCTTTACTTTTGTCATTTATCAGCCTGAAATTCGTCAATTTCAAAGCTTTTGTAACAAAGGCCTCTTTAACACATTTCCCTTTTTATTGCTTTTATGTTTACACCATGGTTTCACTAAGGATCCAACACTTTTCTCTGGCTAGCAAGGGGCCTCTACCCTGGTAATTACTCAAAAAAGGGCCTCTACCCTGTAATTACTCTTTTTCTCTTCTCAAGGGGCCTCTACCCCGGTAATTACTCAAAAAAGGGCCTCTACCCTGGAATTACTCCTTTTCTCTTCTCAAGGGCCCTCTACCCCGGTAATTACTCAAAAAAGGGCCTCTACCCTGTAATTACTCTTTCTCTGCCCTGACTACTTCAAAGGACAGGGAGCCCGATACGTCAAGGGGTTCTTTTTTCCTATAGGGACTGGTTACCCACACAGCTAACCTGTTTTCTACAACATAAGACATGACAAAGACGTGACAAAGACATAACAAAGAAAATTTGATTTAGAGAGATTTGGACAGACCTCCGGGACAGCTCAAAATTTAGCTAGTATCCAATTATGCAGACTTTACATATAAAAAAGGTGTCTGCTTACCTTATTTTCTTTGTCCGGACTGTTCGAGAGGTCGACCAACATCTTTTCCGCGTCAAAAATTCAATTTAAACACAAAACAGAGAAAGTGAGGGAGCAAGAGCAAGCCCATCCAAAAGCGAGCCCTTTCAGCGTCCACTGGGATTTCTCCCCTTCCAGATAACGTGCTGTTGCTCCCATTCATCCATCCATCCATTTTCTTCCGCTTTATCCGTTGCCGGGTCACGGGGGCAGCAGTCTAAGCAGAGACGCCCAGACTTCCCTGTCCACACACACCTCCTCCAGCTCGTCCGGGGGGACCCCAAGGCGTTCCCAGGCCAGCTGAGAGACAGCTGTCCTAGGTCTTCCGCGGGGCCTCCTCCCGGTGGCACGTGCCCGGAACAGGAGGCGTCCGGAACAGATGCCCGAGCCACCTCAACTGGTTCCTCTCGACGTGGAGAAGCAGCGGCTCTACTCCGAGCTCCTCCCGTGTGACTGAGCTCCTCACCTTATCTCTAAGGGAGCGCCCAGCCACTCTGCGGAGGAAGCTCATTTCAACCGCTTGTATCCGCGATCTTGTTCTTTCGGTCATTACCCAAAGCTCATGACCATAGGTGAGGGAGGGAACGAAGATTGACCGGTAAATCGAGAGCTTTGCCTTTCGGCTCAGCTCCCTCTTTACCACAATGGTCCGATACAGCGACCGCATCACTGCGCACGCTGCACCGATCCGCCTGTCAATCTCACGCTCCATTCTTCCCTCACTCGGGAACAAGACCCCGAGATACTTGAACTCCTCCACTTGAGGAAGGACATCTCCACCCACCTGCAGAGGGCAAGGCACCTTTTTCCGGTTGAGTGGGTTGCTCCCACACGCCGAAAAAAAGAAACAAAGGAAACTCCCTCAAAACAATCCAGAGAATGGCGCACACTGATACACACACATCCTCCACCAAATCTGTCAGGGATGAAGCAGACAGAGACGGATCGTGGTGCGCCAAACTCTGGAAGTTTATTTAAGTTTCTCTCAAGTTCCAGTGGTTTCAATTGTTTCTTTCTCTCAAACAGAATGGAGTCAGTACATTGACATTGAATGTAGTCATTGTCACGTCATACATTGAAAGACGTACGTGTCACACAGAGACAGTCACATCATAGTCAAAATAATCAGAGTCCTTGTAGAGTCCTGCACGTAGGCCATATTGCTATCTAATACTAACAAGAATCTCAACTATTTTTAGCAATCTCATAATCTCATATAATGGTTTATTTACGTCAGATTAATAAGATTATTAAACAATCTGGAATCTAAAGAAATATTAAACAAGAAGGTAACGCTATTCATGGTTTCATAAAAGGGCTCAGGGGGTAGTGGCAACACAAGACAAAAAAAAAGTTTGGGCACCACTGGTTTAGAGAACATAAGAGACAGAGACAAACGCACTTTGAGTGCCCATATTCCACCAACAAGGTAGGATAATGAGCAGAAACTTAAATATTCTTAGTTAACATTAATGGTTGGCCATTAAGCATTTTCATAGAGGCAACAGTTTGTTAGATAGTTAGCTAGGCAGCTAACTTAAGATGCACTTCAGGGTTTGCAACATTAACAGCTAGGTAACCTACACTTCTTAACTTAAAAAAAAACAACATAAAGACATTTTAGGACGTACCCGAGTGAAAATGCAGAGAACACACTCTCATCGACTGGGGGGTGAGATCGAAAGTAAGGGTCCTTTCTTCTTATTGCAGCCAACCAAGCCATCCGGCGTCTCTTCGTCAGGTCAGACACTTGCGCTGATGTTGTATCCATTTTGGTAGCCTAAAAAATTGTAAACCGTTGTTCCTACGTTTTCCTTTCTTATTGTGTGAGGTACTGGAGCAGTTTTTAACACAGCAATGAGCTCCAGGCATGGTAAAACAGAAATAGCGATGACCTCCTTTGCTACCGAGTTAACTACAACGGTTTGCCGCTGGGTTCCTACCATCATGGCGGAGACGGGGAGGGTCCCGCGCTATCGAGGGGAGGGGCTCTGTGCTATGACGACAACTCCTCACTCTCAATAGCCATGTCAGAACGAAAAAATAAAAATAAAAATCTCAAGCATTCTTCCATATGCCACAATTGCATTGTGTGTGTGTGTGTGTTTTTTTGTCCGGCTCGTGAGAGGCTTTGAAGAAGTCTGTGCAGAATACTGCGCCGCTGCAACGAAAACACGTTTCTGAGTGTGGAAAACGACCGGACTCTGGGCCTGTAGAACGAGCGCCTGTACCCCCCCCCCCACACTCCCCTCCACACTCGCGGCACCGTTTGTACCACGAATATGGCTCGGTCAGTGCTGTGGCCGCGTCCACTTTTCAGTCTCTCTCAGCCTTCACTGAAAGCTCCAGTGTCTGAGTGTAAAACACACACTTCGAACGCGGGGTTTTTCGGCGGACTTAAGCGCTTTGTAGTAAAATACTGCACCTGTCACTGCCTTTGCCAAAAGCCTCTCATGAGCCGGACAAAAAAACACACACACACACACACACACACACAATGCAATTGTTGCATACGGAAGAATGCTTGAGATTTTTATTTTTATTTTTTCGTTCTGACATGGCTATAGCGAGAACACAGTGATCTCAACATGACCGCCTACGCTGGACAAGTTATGAAGCAAGGAAAAAGATTAACCAATGAGCTTACAGCAGAGGCATCCCGGCCCACCCCATGATGCATATCATTAAACGAAATACGGAAATAAATAAAAAAATAGAGAAAAAATAAATAAATAGAGAAATAAATAAATAAATGCTAAAATAAATAAATAGAGAAATAAATAAATAAATTCTAAAATAAATAAATAAATAGAGAAATAAATAAAAAAATGCAAAAATAAATAAATAAATAGAGAAATAAATAAATAAATACAGAAATAAATCAATAGAGAAATAAATAAATAAATACAAAAATAAATACAGAAAAAGAGAAATAAATATATAAATGGAGAAATAAATGTATGAATAAATACTAAAATATATAAATAAATACAGAAATAAATAAATAAATACAGAAATAAATGCACTTATTCTCATAATTGCATGCATTTCTTTGCAAATTTTATCTTTTTAAAATGTATTTATTTATTTCTGTATATATTTATTGTTTTGGCAGCCACAGTCCTCCATAGATATTTGTGTGACGATTTAGGCGTTTACAGAATATTTATGGAGATTGGTCATCTGCCCCTTATGGACCAATACCAAAGTGTTTTCTGTTTTATTTGTTGTGTTTGAACTGTTTGATTGATTATTCTTATCTGCCCAACAACACACAAACGTTGAAGCATGGTTTTTGTATTTGATTTTCTCTTTCTTTTTATTGACGCTTGACTCTTTCTCTCTCAGTAAACAGCCCCAACGTGCTGGTGACCAGTCTGACTTTGCTGTTCAATGAGGGCTGTCCAGCGCTGACCATGGACCTAACAGGTACAGTAGTGTGTCCATTATGTACTGTATACAGACTGTGTGAGCACTGCACTGGGCGTTTCTTCTGCTGGAGAGCACAGAGAATGGGGGCCGAGGATGTTTGCTTACCGGGCAATACAGACTCTGTCCCCGGGGCGACGCCTAATGTCATGCTGAGGAGGCAGAGGAGGTGGGCGAGTCCTGAGGATACAGACATGCATCTTTTGTCTTTACTTGGACGTGTCCACTTTCAATTTTCTCATAATTGTATTGTTTGTAACGTAAATAATCTGTTCTGATTTCCAACGTAAGGTAATCCCTTTCCACAAGTTGCATTACTCCACCAGAAGGTCACTGGTTGCTAGGTGACAGCCACATCCAAATATGGAAAGTCTGGCTGACACAATGTGCAGTTCATAAGTTTTTTATTTGATCTTATGTAGATACAGAGCAGATAGCAAGTACTAACTCTTATACTGTATAATTTCACCTCAAGTAACAGTTTTCAATGTTTCCCACAGAAGAGAAGGAGATACGGATTCTGATTTATTATTTAACAGAAACGCATCAATTGCTTGAGATTGTGGAACAAAAGTTACTATCATTTAAAAGTGAGCAGTCAAACCTCAAAAGTGGCCGTATCTTTAGAACTAGTGATAGGGTCATATCCAGTATAAGGGGCGTGGTCAGATATAACTATGCTGGAGTAGGTCATATTAACATTTGATAGAAGACTTCTCAATTCTAATTTATAGTACAGTTCAGATCTCCTCCCAAAATAAGACGATGTAAATTTAAGTCAGGTAGAACAGATATAACTGTTTGAAAAAAAAGATGGATCATCTCTATTTGGTGCATACAAATTGATTAAAGCTACTGCCATTTAATTCACCAGTTACAATTAAAAACCACCCATTCGGGTCATTTATAGTAATGATTGGCTTAAACAGATTAATCCACCCTCTTTTAATAGGGCCATTAAGACCTTTCACATGAGATAAATCTCAGACCATTTTCCTTATCACCCATTTTTAATGACTAATACCATACAACAGAAAGGCATGAAAAAAAAAGATATATATGAAAAGAAATAAATTGTCCACTCACCTTTGGCCCTCCGCGGGCGGTTATCCCTCTCTAAGCTTGGGTCCTCTACCAGAGGCCTGGGAGCTTGAGGGTTCTGCGCAGTATCTTTGCTGTTCCTAGCACTGCACATTTCTGGACCGAGATGTCCGAGGTTGTTCCGGGGATCCGCTGTAACCACTCTTCTAGCTTCGGGGTCACTGCCCCAAGTGCACCGATCACCACGGGCACTACTGTCACCTTTACCCTCCAGGCCCTCTCCAGCTCCTCTCTGACCTTGGTATTTCTCAAGCTTTTCATGTTCTTTTTTCCGGATGTTACCATCGCTTGGAATTGCCACGTCCACCACCACGGCTGTCCTCTGCCCTTTGTCTACCACCACAATGTCAGGTTGGTTCGCCATTACCATTCGGTCGGTCTGTATCTGGAAGTCCCACAGGATCTTTGCACGCTCATTCTCCACCACCTTTGGAGGAGTTTCCCACTTAGACCTTGGGGTTTCCAGCCCATACTCTGCACAGATGTTTCTGTACACTATGCCAGCCACTTGGTTATGGCGTTCTATGTAGTCCTTCCCTGTCAGCATCTTGCACCCTGCAGTTATGTGTTGGATCGTCTCAGGTGCCTCTTTGCACAACCGACACCTTGGGTCTTGTCTGGTGTGGTATATCTGGGCCTCTATTGCTCTGGTGCTCAGTGCCTGTTCCTGTGCAGCCATGATGAGTGCCTCTGTGCTGTCCTGTAGGCCAGCCCTTTCTAGCCATTGGTAGGACTTCTTGAGATCAGCCACTTCTGTTATGTTCCGGTGGTACATGCCGTGTAGGGGCTTGTTCTCCCATGATGGGCTCTCCTCCAGCACCTCTCCATCTCGCCACTGCCTGAGACATTCACTGAGTACGTCATCCGTTTTGGCCTTCTCCATGATGTAGTTATGGAGTTTGGATGTTTCGTCCTGGACAGTGGCTCTCACACTCACTAGTCCTCGGCCTCCTTCTTTACGGCTTACGTACAGTCTCAGGGTGCTGGATTTGGGATGGAACCCGCCATGCATGGTAAGGAGCTTTCGAGTTTTAACATCCGTGGTCTGAATCTCTTCCTTTGGCCACCTGATTATTCCTGCAGGGTATCTGATCACTGGCAGGGCGTAGCTGTTAATTGCCCGGGCCTTGTTCTTGCCATTGAGCCGGCTTCTTAGGACCTGCCTTACTCGCTGGAGGTATTTGGCAGTTGCCGCTTTCCTGCCATATATATATATATATATATATATATATATATATATATATATATATATATATATATATATATATATATATATATATATATATATATATATATATGTTGGTATTAAAGTGTATACTAGGACAGATTCCCAGACAGGACAGCCCTCCACCCCCTTTCTCACCCCTTTCCCAGCCCACCCTAATTTCCGGTTGCAGGAAACTCATTTTTGGTTAAGAACAACAACGTCACCCGAGGAATATGGCCTTGGGACCAATACCAATCCAAATGTGTAGGAATATATCTTTTATTATATTTTAAGTTAACAAGGATTAAAAACAGGCCTGAAGTAGTAAAATAAAACAAAGCTGCAAGTATTAAACATAACGGAAATAATTAGCACATAAAGCAAATCCAAAAACGGGGCAAATCAAACAATGGAAGCACAAATAAGTGAGCCAGGACAGAAAAGCCATGCAAACAAAAGAACAAGCAACAAAACATGCAAAAACAATGCACAAGAAAAGTAATTTAAACGAGCAGCACAAAAACACACATGCAAACGGCGGGGCTCACCTACCCAGTTATCTGTAAGGCATTAATTCATTTGCTCACCGCGGCGTTAACTTGCCTGGCACTTAAGGCCAAATTATGACCTGGATACGTTTTATAACTGGACAAAACAACGGCCTCCTTTGAAGGAGGCGACAGTCCGACCGCTGCTCTGCACCCAGAACCTGTCCATAAAAACAAACATTATTTGACAAACTACATTTAATTTACATTGTTTGGTATTGTTGGTGTCTTACCGGCCAGCAACAGTGCTCACGGGAGCAGCAGTACCGCGGTAAAGGCCTGTGTACACTCGTTGCTTACGGTTGCGGTTACGTTGGACCTACGTAACCAAAGTTTGTGGAACACTTGCGCGTTCCCCGAATGTCCCATTTGTGCTGCTACTTTCTCCTCAATAGCGAAGCTGTTTGAGATCATTACATGTGTTTCTACTGTAGGTTTATGTGATAGTTCTATGGACTCATTGTTTCAACTCATTTAATTGTGATGTTGTGAATAAAGACACAGTTCTTGTTGGAAACAGTTATTATTAAAGTGTATTCAGCACAAACAATAAGTGGTAAAAATCTGAGACAAATATGAACTGTTTACAAGTACAGGAGGAATGCAACAGACGCTACGAGTGTAGCTTCAAACAAAGACAGTGCAAAACAAACGACTGTACAGTTTATAAGTCATATACAGTGGGGCAAAAAAGTATTTAGTCAGCCACCGATTGACTAAAATAATGACAGAGGTCTGTAATTTTCATCATAGGTACACTTCAACTGTGAGAGACAGAATGTGAAAAAAAAAAACAAATTCCAGGAATTCACATTTTTTAAGAATTTATTTGTAAATTATGGTGGAGAATAACTATTTGGTCACTTCAAACAAGGAAGATCTCTGGCTCTCACAGACCTGTAACTTCTATAAGAAGCTCTTCTTCAGTGTACCTTGCTGATATCAAGGTACACTGAGTTTTGAGCCGCTAAGGTTGAAAACAAGTGCACACATACACACACATACTGTACATACATTTTTCAGTTTGTGTTTTTACCTGCTGTTTTGTTGTCTGATTGATTGTGACATGTGTATTGTTTGAGAGTCCAGTTTGGCTTTGTGTCGCTCCATTTGGCGTCTCAAATGTTGAATTATCCAAACATTGTTGTGAGTTGTAATGTAACAATATCCATATTGGGATGTCTACCCAGAAAGAGGATGTTGTTCTCCGAGAAGTCTGATCGTGAGTCCGCTTCTCTTCTTGTGTGTTCGATCCCAGGGGTTTTGTCTGCCTTTGCACTGGTAGAATAGGTCACCGGCTGACACAAGGCTCTTATCTGTGCTTCACTTCCTCTCCATTCCTGTGAGAACACATCACCCCAGCCCAGTCCCACTATCTGCCCTCCATCTGCCCCCCTCTGCCGCCTCCTCCATTAGGAAGCACTCTCAGTTGATGCACACTTTTAAATTGAGATTTAAAGTCATTAAACACTGAATGTATTTCGGATGGTGCTGCTTTCACAATGCGTCTCCCTGCCTTTCACTTCCACACTCTAGAGCAGAGCAGACAATAGATTATTAAAACATTAAAATGGGTGAATATAAAGAGACATAGTTTAATGGAGAGTTCTGTTTTAACGTTTTATAGAATATTTATACATCGCCCATATATTTTGAACAAAACTCTGGTCTTATTTGCTTAGCACTTGCTACCAGAATGATTGACAATTGGGAGTACCAATAGTCTTGATGATCTGCAAGTAGATAATCCTCCTATATACCTTTAAACATTTCAAGTTTACATTGTAAAAGAATATTAAAATTAAAACTGCACTTAAAACTGGGATTCCTAGCTTTCAAACCCCCAAAAAATGAACTCTGTTGAAAATCCAACCGATTTCCTTCTATCACAAGTTTTCACTTTTGATCTATTTTTGGCCTCTGGATCTTTAGATCAGCCTTTTCTCACAGAAAAGCGCCCTCACTCAGCCAATCAGCTCTCCGCCCAAAGAGTTAAGTAGAGACTCACAGGGCTCTTTCTTACAAGTGTACAAAAGATAACATGTTTTATGAAAACATCAAGGTTGCACGATGTGGTCTGATTTGTTCGAAACATTTTAGTTTCACAATGACTTTTCTGTTCAAATATGTTGGGGATATGATTATTAATGGGGCTGAAAGTTAGGTACTCAAGCTTTAATAGAAACGCCTGTTATCCAAACAATAACGCATGATTTGAAACATGAGAATTTAATAATCATTATCTGGACAATATGTATTTACTTATTTTTATTAATCCACTGCTCCCAGCATCCAGAAATCACCCATACACACTAATTACATTGTCTTTCTGAAATTCTTACCTCAAAATAATACATATTTGAAACGATGTTAGAAAGAACAAGGGGTCAGTATGATCTAAAGATTTAGCGAATAGGACCAAACTGAGGCTGACTTCATGCATGAGTCACATATTCACTATTTGCAGCCACTGATTCATAATGTAATGTCATGCTGATATTTTGATGTTTCTCTCAGGCGACCTCAGCAAGCTCCCAGTGTTTATCCTAAAGGAGGGAGTGCAGTACAGGATTAAGATACTCTTCAAGGTAAGAATATGGAGTGTTCTGCGATTTATTAAAATCATAATGATGGTTAAAATACAATTTACATGTATATCTTCCTTCAGAACACTCTTCCATTTATTATTTAAGAATATTAACATACAAACAACGCAGTATTTCTTTTTTTTAATGCAAAGAAATGTGTCAGAGATACTAGAAGAGATTTTGTAGGTAGCAAGGCCATCTGCTGGACAAAGGGAGAATTGTTAATTTAGTCATTAATTAAAATGTATTGGGTATGATTTTTGTTTTGTTTTAATCAATTTGTACAAGAACAAACAAACAACAAACACACGGCAGAAACAACCAAAACAAAACATGAAAATCTACAATATCACATTTTTGTGTACTGTATGCATTCAGTAATTTGGCTTTTTTCATGATATCGTATTTTTTGAGACCTTAATAGCCCTAAACCTAGAGTCCCATTCCCCATGTACCTCTCAGTCAGTCTGCTCCAGGGCAACTGTGGCTAGAGTAGTGGTTTATTATCACTGTGTGTGGAGCGAATGAATATTGACATGTGAAGCATCTTTGAGTGTCCTATAAAACCAGTTATTAATATTATTATCTCTAGCATTATTATTGATAGTCACGGTGATGATGATTATATAATCTTGATGATTATATTAATGACAATTATTATTATCATTATGAACATTGTATATTTTTTCTTTTGTACAGGTGAATCGTGAGATCGTTGCCGGATTGAAGTACTATCATGTCACCTCAAGAAAAGGAATAACAGGTAGCCTATACAAACAAAAGCTGGAAAATAATAAGTGATGTTTCTTCTCATGTGAAACATTTCTCTGCAGTGGATAAAGATGCATACATGGTGGGCAGTTATGGGCCGCGGGCCGAGGAACACGAGTTTATTTCTAGCGTGGAAGAAGCTCCTAAAGGCATGATTGCACGCGGCCATTACACCATCAAGTCTCGCTTTATCGACGATGACAAGAACGTCCACTTGGCTTGGGAGTGGGGCGTCCATATCAATAAAGACTGGAAGTAAACTGAGGGGAATCACCTCTTCTCACTTGGATCTCCAGCAGGTAAACTTCATCTGGGACTTTGATGTAGGTGAAAGAGAAAAAGGTTGATTTATGTACTAGATAAACTGCTTTTTAGGGTCGATGATGTCAAAACCCCTTACTGCTTTTGTTGTATGCTTCCCCAGCAGCAAGGCTTATGTTTTCATCCCAGATTTTTACAAACAGATAATGGCATCTCTAGTCATTGTGACACAGACAGAGTTTTGGTGAAACTATAAATAAATATCGACCTGAGGGGTATTTCTTGGGACATTTCTTTCTAAACAAACGTCTGTGTATACAGTAAAGAGACTTGCATGTACTTATACAAATCATTCTATTGATATTAATGAGCCCATTCAATATGTTTCCAAGATATGTAATGTGAATACCTACAGCATTTAATAAATAACAACCAGAGCCCCCTTTTTAATCAATCATCAGTGTTTTATTTTGAAACGATATTGTCATATTGCTATACATTGATGAAAAATCACTGTAAGTGTTGGCCTGTTGGGTGTTGCATGGAAAAGTAGGGTGCTCTCACTTTTTACATATTGTGGTGATGAAGTTCATGTGCATAATAAGTCAGAGATGTAGTTCACAGGAATACTTTTGTGTCTCCTGCCTCTCGATGTAAAGACCACCACTGTCAGTGTCTATGTATTCTGTATCTTCTAATAAATACTACCAACCAATCTGGCCACTCCATTATTTCAAGCAACCGTAAGTAAGCAAAGCACAGTACCTTATTACAGACCATTTCCTTTTTTTTATTCACATACATTTAATCTCTCGTGCAAATCCCAAATGACACGAAAACAGGTTTGCATTAGTCCATGGTGAGATTAGTGTTATTGCTGCCCATCGCCTGTGCCAGAAATGCTTTGTGAGCGGTGGATGGCAGATATAGAAACACATAGACCAGTGCCAGGACCAGAAGGGCCAGAACGAGAGGGACGCCCCAGTCTGTCGTCATGATGGGCTCCTCACAGCGAGCCTGAAGAAACGACTTCGGCATGGTGCACAGGAATGAAGACACCAGCTTTTCAATCCAGATTAAGTTTGAAAAATATGATCACACAATAAAGTCCAGAAAGGGCCCAAGCTGCTTTAGGGGACGAAAAAAGAAAGACGTTCTTGTCGTCCATATATTTTCTTTGATTTGTCTTTTAAATGAGCTGACTCTATACAGTTGGTGTGAATCTGCATGTGATCTGTACTCATAACAGATCACAGCTGACATGTGGATTTTCCAATTACATAACAAAACATAAAAACACAAAGTCAGGCATTGAAAGTTGTAAACGCTGAAGCTGAATCCTGCCAAGGTCACATTAGAATCAGGGGATTAAGTTTGTGATTTACAAAAGGATGTGCCATTGTTATTCATAACTATCACAAGAACAATGCCTTCATATTGTAGAATTGTATTTCAGTTGGAGGGCAGGGGCCAATACCACCCTATGGGAAAGACTCATTTTTTGAAAGAAAGAAAATGTCCCAGGGTTTTCCAGATAATTTTTTGATAGTTATTAGATTTACAAAGCCAAATTAGTCTTATGTCTGAAAGTTCTTATGGCCGCCCTCATGCGTATGTTTTCACGGTGGTGATAAACTGTTTCCACAGCTGCCCTGGGGTACACTGACAGAAGTGAGGCAACCAGTATGTGCCATCGGCCCCTCCGACCATCACCAACCATTCACACACACTAGAATCATTCTAGGGAATGTGGGTGAAGTGACTTGCCTAAGGACACAACGGCAGTTTGGCACTTTACCTCAGCAGCCGCCCCACTGTGGCAACAGCAAACATCAGAATTGCCCAAAGGCCGATGCTCTTCAAACTGAGCCACTGTCACTCCAAACCATAGTTGATATGCATTGACAAAGTTCTGGAACATTGTGGCAGTTTTTGTTTCATGTGGATTGTTCCAGGATGTACAGAGAGAGATAAGCAATAAACAACCACAGTCTTAAACTATATACTCTTTGGTATATTCTCACGTCACATGATGAATGCAACCCATGGGTAATTCCTAGTATTCAACGATATCAAAGCAAGTTTATACTGAAATAAACCTTTCTATTTTCGATAGACCTCCAATCCCGCAGGGGGCGCGCCATTCTTAAGTATTGTTGTTTTAGCCATGGATGTATGGTTTTAGCTCACGTGAATGGTTTGTTTTGTATCTGCCATGAACCTTTTATTTTTGTCGTCTCTTTCCAAACTGAAAACATAAAGCTTTGCTTTAATGTAAGCAGCTGTCAATGATGTGTCCCTGGTGCAGGTTGGGTTGATGAACAATATGATGCCAATAATATGTTAGCATTAGACTATTCTATACACCTAGAGGGAACGTGCTTTTAAAACCATCAGGTAGGTTCAATGATGTCGTTATTATATCATTATATCTAGATCTGTCTGTAGAAACAATCTTTCTATATGTCACTGCAGTCAGTATGTATTGTATTACTGTATATACATGTACTGGACAGTTGTGCTTTTTAAATCTTCTGCATTATACTATTATAGCATTGTTACTAGTTATGTTATCTATTACATTGATGTATGTGTTTTGCAGGTTCGGAATAAATAATAACTAAATAAATAGATGGTGTGAGATTGGATGCACATTATGAGTACAGAAGCCGCGAGCCTGGATAACCTCCAGGTTGTGTCTCAGAGTGATGACTACATTGTGGTGGACAAGCACTGGGACATCCGCATAGACAGTAAAATGTGGTATGAGAAATTGACCGTGCAGGCACAACTAAGACAGCATTTCCCTGAGCTGGCTGATCCTAACACCTACTATGGATTTAGGTAGGCTACATAAGATTCTCCAAAGTTTAGGGGTAATTATGTAATAAATCAATAGATGTCTGCGTGCAGAGGGGTTGAAGATAACTTACACAATAAACTATTTGGTTCTTTTTAGATTCTGTCATCAATTGGACTTCTCCACCAGTGGGGCTCTATGTGTGGCCCTGAATAAGGCTGCTGCTGGCCAGGCCTACCGCTGCTTTAAGGATCGAACCGTTACAAAACTCTATATAGCTCTGGTACGTGTCGAGAAATGAAGACAAGGCAGCTGCAATTGCACCTGTACCATGGTTTATTTCTGAGTCCCTTCAGATCAAAGTAAAGGAGACAAGGCTTTTTATATGATTTGTAACAATGTTGTCAGAACAGATGCTTATGATTTATATAATACAGCAACATTGTGGTCAGAACAAATTCTTTCAGTTCCTCAGATAATATTGTTTAGCAGTAAGACAAATATGACAGGGGTCTACAGTACATTTGCTGTTAAGATAGCACATACATTTTAAACTATACTAAACATTTGCAATTGTCCAGTTTGTAAATCAAAGAAATGTGCTTTTTTTTTTACAGTTGCGTGGTTGGGTTCAGGGGGAAGTGCAAACGTTGGACTTTTCTATTGGCAAAAATTCTTCTGAGGGCAAAACTCATATGATGTGTATTGAAGGAACAGAAGGTAGAAAGATTGGCATGCATTCAAATATTCCAGCCATTGTGTCATACTCCTCACGTGATCTTTGTGTATTCAGGATGTGAAAACCCAAAGCCCTGCCTAACTGAACTGACAGTATTACAGTTTGGATTGTATGATGGAGAGCCTGTCACCAAAGTGCTACTAAAACCTCTGACAGGTACCTATGCATGTAGAATAACCCTACATTTTAGACTTTATTACTAACTTTCCCTAAAACAAATGATAAATTCTTTGTCTCTATGGACATGGTTCAGCAGCAATGAAGTTTGAATGAATACATGGACTCCCACTTTAAACGTATTGTGTGTTTTTAGGTCGTACCCACCAGCTGAGAGTCCACTGCAGTGCCATAGCACATCCTATAGTTGGTGACTTTACCTACAGCCTTGGAACAGATGATGCTCCGTACCGCATGATGCTGCATGCCTATCTCCTGCGCATTCCCCTGGAACCTCAGCCGCTGCTTGTAATTACTGAAGACCCATTTACCCCCACGGTGGACACTAAGTGGCACCCAGAGCGGTCTGTAAGAGCTCTTGAGGACACTGTTGCAGCAGTGCTGGAGTGCAAACTAGAAGAGGAAAGAAAGCAGAAAGATGAAAAGCGGCATGACTTGGAAGAAAAGTACAGAAAGTGTACTATGAGAAAGCAAAAGGAGGAAGAGGTTAGGGAACAGACACATCAGTGTCAGGAGTGGCTTAGTGAGTGGGGTGGAGATGTTTGAGAAGGTGACTTTTGGGACAGTGCATATCGATCACATGGTTAACTGGTAAATAAGCAACTATCACACCTTACCACCTGTGAGAAGGATATGACATTCTTTTAATGTATTGTACCTACCTAATTAGTCACCATTACATTTTTTTGTCTGTCATGAAAATCAATAATAAATTAAATTTAAGGCGTCTAGATCAGTGGTTCTCAAAATGTCTACACCAAGTACCACCTCAGAAAATACTTACCTCTCCAAGTACCACCACAAATGACCAACACTGTATAGTAGTGTAGTAAGCCTAAGTATTCATCAAAAACAAGGCAGAGGTTTCATTCCTGAAGAAGTATGCTTAATATTGTAACATTTTACACAGTTTCAACAGTAAGTATAGGAAAAAAACCTAAAAATTATACTTAAATAATGATTCGTTCATAATGTTCAATTCATTTTACGAACTGCAAAGCCTTGACTCACCACTGTGAATTATATTATGGGGCGGGATGGCCTTCTTTTTCCACCAGAAGGTTTGGACACTGGCGCACTTAGGTTCATAAGGCTTGGTCTGCTGCCCTCTTACATCTGTCGTTTACTCACACAAAGAGATGTTGGTTCATGACTGAGAGCACTTGAGACATCCTCATTGAAATTTAACAGTTTTAATAATCTGTAATTGTATGTAACTGTTTTATAATCTGTAATTGTATGTAACTTTTGTTCAGGACTCCCTTGAAAAAGAGGTTCTTAATCTCAATGGGACTTGGTTAAATAAAGGTACAATAAAAAAGATATTTATTGCTCTTATTATTTCAGTGATTCTTTGGCGTACCACTAGAGAGAGCACCGCGTACCACACTTTGAGAATGACTGGTCCAGATTATTTGTTTTAAATATACTTACCCATAGTGCCACGCGCGTTGACTAGTGTCATCGACACGGAAGCGCTTAAACACAGTTTTCAGCAGCCATAATAAAGTAGTGTTGTGACGTCCCGTAGAGAGTTTAACTGATCAAGATGAGCTTTGAAGTCTTCTCGTATGAAAGTCTGGTGCATGCGGTGTCGGGAGCGATGGTGAGTGTTGCTAGTGTCCATTCTCAAATGAGAGGATTGTGCGGTGTATTATTTTGTAATAATTGTCCATGATGCATGTATTGACACAGTCGTGGTTTACATTGTAATTTTAAATCATGGATGTATGCTTGTCATCCTCCCTTTACGTTTATTCCAACATTAGATCTAGCTACATTGCTCTTGGGTATAATTTCGCTTTTGCTTACTTATTTTAGGGAAGTGTAACTGCCATGACCGTGTTTTTTCCTCTTGATACTGCACGGCTGAGGCTTCAAGGTGCGTTCAGATGATCGTTAGTTTTTCACTGATTTATTCAATTTACTTGTGTCCTGACTCCTGTGGTCTTTGCAGTGGATGAAAGTAGAGAGTCAAAATCTACTCCAGCCATTCTTGCAGAGATTATAAAAGAGGAGGGGCTGTAAGTGGCCTTTGCTGTTGTCTCTGCAAAGTATAACTTAATTTGAATGCATTTTCTGTTTTTTTGTTTGCAGTTTGGCTCCGTACAGAGGCTGGTTTCCAGTTATATGCAGCTTGTGTTGCTCCAACTTTGTGTACTTCTACTGCTTTCATAGTCTTAAGGAAAACTACTTGAAAGGACAACAATCAACGTCCAGTGTTGACCTTTTTATGGGAATGGCTGCGGGTGAGTTATTTCAGCTGTTTCTTTGTTGGATCAATGGATCACACTGTGGTCAAAATACTATAATTGTTCTTGTACTTGCTGACACTGTCATATTTCTCTTTATGCTCTCTAGGTGTCATAAATGTTTTGGCAACAACCCCACTCTGGGTGGTGAACACCCGGCTGAAACTTCAAGGATCGAAGTTTCGTAATGCAGAGATACACTCTACAAACTATTCTGGCATTATTGGTAAGTTAGCAGTGTTCTAAATTCCATGTTCTCCAAATCCTCTAGCTATTATCCAATGGCTCTCGTATAACAACTGGTTTCATCTCCAGATGCATTTATTCAAATAGTTCGGGATGAGGGTGTAGGGGCCCTCTGGAATGGGACCTTTCCATCCCTGCTGCTTGTGCTCAACCCTGCAATCCAATTCATGATTTATGAAGGCCTGAAAAGGCAGCTCAGGAAAGGTGCTTATAGGGAGGTAGGATCCCCATCTATATAGTGAATTGTCTGCTGTTACCTAAAAATTGTAAGAATATATAATGTTAGTTTTATATTATAGTAGGTTACTCACTAAATGGCGAGAGTAGCTCAGTTGGTAGAGCACTGGCCTTTAGGCCTGAAGGTCGTGGGTTCGAGCCCGCCATAAGACCTACTTCATGACTCCCACTGATGACTGCTGTCGTTGTGTCCTTGGGCAAGACACTTAACCCCACTTTGCCTGAAGCCCCCGCTGAAAGATCTCAGCTCCTGTGGACTCACCACCTGCAGGAGAATCAGTGAGGGGCTGGTGCTCTGTGTACTGGGTGCAGCTCTGACTGCCACCCCCCCGACCCAGCAATGGATTAAGGGGAAGAAAATGGATGGATGGATGGATGGATACTTACTAAATGCTGTAAACTAATGTTTACTGCACTTATTCATTCAAGCTGACATCTATTGAAGTCTTTATCATTGGTGCTGTGGCCAAGGCTGTTGCCACAACTGTAACATATCCACTTCAGACTGTTCAATCGGTCCTTAGGGTAAGAATTATTACATTTTCAATTTATTCAGCAATTTTTTCTTAAGTATAAAATGTCAACAGAATTTTTTTCTCATCCAAACTGTAGTTTGGACAGTTTCACAAGTCAACCGAACAATCCAACCTTCTGTCAAGTCTTAAAAGTATCAAGTGTTTGCTGATCAACAGAGTAAGGTATGTCAACATAAAACAACATGAAAAAACAAAAGTTTACTGTAATTTAAATGATTTGCTGTCCTGTAGGAGGTATGGTATATCTGGCCTTTTTAAAGGCCTGGAGGCCAAACTACTGCAGACTGTTCTGACTGCAGCCCTCATGTTTCTTCTCTATGAGAAGATAGCCAGCTGTACCTTCAAAGCCATGGGTTTACAAAAGGCTCTCTACAAGAGACGTTAGATAAATGCATGACGGCAACTGCCAACTGTTAATCAACTGCCTTTAACATGTATATTGATGTATACAAAAAATGTATAATTTGTATTTAACCACAATGATCCATGTATTTGTTTATCAAATGAATTGTACACTGTGTGAAAAAAAGTAAATGTTACTTTGAATGTAACTATTAATAAATCTACAGAAACCAGTTTCTAGTTACTCCCAACACTGCACACTGGGATGTTGAATGATTATATATATTCTCCAAAAATAAATAACTATTATTTGCTTTGTGTTTCCAACTGTTAAAATGAGTGCACATTAACTGTGCTCATTATTTTAAGATAAAATGGTTTGAATCTGTTCCCCACATGATCAAAGACATGATGGCCTGTATATTTTCTATTGTACTTAAATATCATAGAATCGTGTTTTACATTCAGTTTCATAATGTAGTGATGTTGGCAACCATAAAACCAGAATCTTATTATTTTAAGAGATCCATGTATGTAACACAGCAGTCTCGCCCCACGTGTGTGGGGGTGAGTCCTGTAGGATTGGCCCGGACGTTACGTACGCGGCAGACTTTAGAATTACGTAAGCAACACTTCGCCACCTCGTCTCTTCCTAAAACACACAGCTTCTGTGCATTTAAAACTCAACGATGGACCCCAATTCAAAAGAAACCGAGAAACAATGCGTCCTCTGCTGTCAAGACATCGACATCTTCGCCCTGGGAAAATGCGACCACCCGGTGTGCTATCGCTGCTCTACCAAAATGAGGGTGTTGTGTGAGCAGAAGTACTGTGCGGTGTGCCGAGAGGAGCTAGATAATGTAAGCTTGCGTTGCTATCATTGTGCGTTTGAATATACACCTGACTTATTAATGTGTATACTTTATGCGTGATACCTGAATTAATCAATCAGAAAGGGAACAATAGCGTTAACTATCAAGATGGTCCACCTCCTGACTTTTGGATAAAGCTATGCTAGCTGTCATTAGCTTCAGAAATGCTAACTTTGCTAACTCGAACTCACCATTGCCAGCACGTCATTCAAATCTGCTTTCTTACTTTATAAGAATCTATCTTAACATTCCGAGTCATGCGATCAAACCCATTGGTCTGGCAAATGATCAATGGGGTCATATATTGAATCATGTTTTATTATAGACTACAACGTTGTATGTTTTAAATAATTGGCAACCTTTTTCGGACTTATCCCATTTGACTATGCAGTTGCCCAACCCTTCAACATTTGGACTGCCCACGTCTTATACTATGTTGTCCTTTGTCAAACAAATTGTATGATTCTTACTCTTTCAAATCCCTGTTATCTTCCTCACATGAGTTATAGAGACAGGTTTTTCCTTTCAGGTGATATTTGTGAAGACGCTCGAAAACTTCTCATCTCTTCCATACCAGAAGTTTCCGTGTGATAAAAATCATGACATATACTTTAAGGATGAGAGAATCTCTGCACAGTACAGGTGAATATAACGTGGTCTTTTTTTATTAAACCAGGGAAATCCAAATGAGATTATATATATATATATATTAGAAACAAGTAACTATTCGGACACCTAATTTTTTTTATTCACCCCCAGGCATCTATTGCTCCCAGAGTGCATTCACTGTGCAGAGCCAAAAGTCTTCTCAAGATTTGAAGAACTGGAGCAGCACATGAGAAAGCAGCATGAGCTTTTTAGTTGCAAGCTCTGCTCAAAACATCTCAAGGTACTCTTCAAAAATCCAAATAGGATTTAAAACATGCACGTAAATGAAGGTTGACCTGACACATTTTTAAAACACATTTTAGATCTTCTCCTATGAGCGCAAATGGTACACACGAAAAGAGTTGGCCCGTCACCGGACTCAAGGAGACCCTGACGACACGAGTCACAGGGGACATCCGCTGTGCAAATTCTGTGATGAACGATACCTAGATAACGACGAACTGCTTAAACACTTGCGCAGAGATCATTACTTCTGTCATTTCTGTGATGCAGATGGGTCACAGGAGTACTATTGGTGAGGAGAAACGAAATTAACATTTATCTTTAAGTTTGTCATTAGATCTAAATGTAATGTATGATGTATGAACAGTGATTACCAGTACTTGAGTGAACACTTCAGGGAGAGTCACTATCTGTGTGAAGAGGGTCGTTGTGCTACTGAACAGTTCACTCATGCGTTCCGCACAGAAATTGATTATAAAGCTCACAAGGCCGCAGCACACAGTAAGAACCGCGCTGAGGCCCGACAGAACCGCCAGATTGACCTGCAGTTCAACTTGGCCCCCAGACAACAAAGGCGAAATGAGGGTTAGTACTCAGCCTAAAAGGTGATTTTATGTACTGATACGTAGAAATGAATCAAAATGTATGCTTTTGTTGGAAGGTCAAGTAACTGGTGAAGACTATCAAGAAGGGCATCATATGAGAGGAAGAGGACGAACTCAAGGAGCACAGAAGAGCTGGAGATATTCAAGGTATATATAGTTATATGCATAACTGCAGATATACTTGTGATTTACGTATTTTGTGTGTACACAGAGAAGAGGAAGATCGAGATGTGGCTGCTGCCATGAGGGCGTCGTTGGCCATGCGTCGTCAGGAAGAGAGGGGTGCAATAAAGGAGAGGATTGCTTCCAAGATGAAAGAGAGAACAGATCCAGAAGAACTAAGGTCTAGATCCGGCCCTGTCAACCCCCCAACCAACATGCCACCAGGTAAAGGAGTAATGATTTAAGGGCGTGTTCACACACACCATAAACTAGTGGACTCTTGCCTTTGTTACTGAAGTGAACAGTCCTCATAACGTCATTGATATGAAGAAAAAAGAAATTATGTAGGGAAGTCTATGGTAAGCCAGGTTGCTGTAATGGAACGAGTCAATTCTAGCAATTCTGAGGTGAGAACAGTGAAACAGGGTGGACTAGACACATCCCAAGTCTGCACTGGGCATTTTGTGCTGCTGATGTATATTCTTTACAGTTAAAACCATGAAAAGCACAACTCCTGGAGATGAAGATGATTTTCCAGCTTTGGGAGCCACTGCAAATCTACCAACGTAATTCTGTTTTTCTGTATCGATTGATATCACAAACATTTTAGAATTTTGGGTTTGGTTTCATACGTTGTTCTTTGATTGGGTTTTTCCAGTGTCAAGACTGTTCCTGTCCCCACACCAGCAGCATCTCATCCCCGTTTAAAAGAAGACGACTTCCCAAGTCTGTCTGTGACCAGTCTCTCTGCGCCCATGGCTCCTGCATACACTGCACACCCTAAAAAGAGTTCATCATTCCAGGAAGAGGATTTTCCTGCTCTGGTTTCTAATGTCCGACCTGCCAAATTTGCTGCAGGAACCAAATCTGCCTGGTCGAGCCAGGCTGCCGCACCTAAAGCCCCAGTCCCTGCTAGTACTAAACCTGCCCCCCCCCCACCAGGCCCACAGCTCCTTTCTTCCACAAGCATCTCTGCAAAGAGAAAAAAAAAGATGGGAGAGAATGTCAAGGCTCTGGCTCCTTCGCCAAACTCTGATGAAGAAAGTGGAGGCTTGACTCAGAATGAATTTCGTGCGGTACCGACCATGCTGGACATTTCCTCTTTGCTCACTGTCAAAGGAAGCAGCAGCAGCAATAATACGCCCCAACCTCAAAAGCCCAAGTTGACTGCCATCATGGACCTTGCGCCTATGTCCAAAGAAAAAATGGAAACCAGCAAAAGGAAAAAACAGCCGAAGAACAATGCAGTTTCATCAGGAACAGAAAAGGCATCAGTGACAGAATCTTATCCTGTAGAAACTACTGCCCAGAAGGAAAATGTCCCAGAGAAATCCCGGAACAAACCCAGTTTAGCTAATGGCTACCCTGACAAATCCCCATCAACAAACAGGACATCAAACAAGAAAACTGCTGCTGTAACTTCCACAACAACTGAACAACCAACAGAACAAGAGGAAGAATTTCCAGCCCTGTTGGCTCAGAAACCACCACCAGGTAGTAATCTCAACTTATTTCAGTAGTTACTAAAAACTGCCGTTAATTGTCAACCTGGGAAATGAGCATTTAATACATACAGGGAGATGGTGTAGATGACTATAGATGTTATAGATGCCAAATGGCTATAAACATTTTGACATTGAAAATATCACTAACATTTATTATTTTAACGGGAAAATATTAGTTTCTAAATCCAGATCATTGTGTTTTGTTTGCAGGTTTCAAGACCTCATTTCCAATAAAGACTTCAAACCCTCCTCCTTTGACTGCGGCTCCTACTCCACCTCCTGGTCTGGGGAACACGGCTCCTAAGCCTCCGCCAGGATTCACTGGAATTCCTCTGAACAGCAATGTGCCTGAGCCTTCCTCCTCCAGCACCAACACGTCAGTCTTTAAGACTTCACACAGATGAACTTTAGATTTCAGAAACGACTAACATTGATTCTGTTGTTTTATAGCCCTGTAGTGTCATCGGGTGAATACCATGTGCCAGAAGACTTCCAGCAGAGGAATCTGAACTTGATCTTGTCTATTAAGAAATACCTCCACAACGATGAGTCAAAGTTTAACCAGTTCAAAAACCACTCCGCACAGTTCAGACAGGTAATTTTGATCTTTTAGCGTGGTGGGGAATGGGTCTCACCTGTGCACTGGGTAAATGTTCTGGTTTGTGTTTGAAGGGTGTCATTTCGGCAACGCAGTACCACCGTTGCTGCAAGGACCTGCTCGGAGAGGACTTCAACCGCATTTTCAATGAGCTGCTTGTGCTTTTGCCAGACACAAACAAGCAACAGGAACTGCTCACTGCCCATGGAGACAGCAGAGCTCTGGAGAAGCAGACTGGAGGAGGAAAGAAGAACAAGAACAAAAAGAATGCATGGCAAATGACTCCTTCTAATTCTATCGCCGCAGCTGAACTGGACTGCCAGGTTTGCCCCACTTGTAGACAGGTGCTGGCGCCCAAAGACTTCAACGCTCACAAATCCCAGCACACAGCTGAGAGTGAGGAATTCCCTTCACTCCAGTCCATTAGTCGCATCATCAGCTAGCTCTTGGTGCTGTTGTAAAAACTATCCCTGGATAATCATATATATCCTTGAGTTGTTGTGGTGCTACAGTGAACAGATTTGGGTGGCTTAGTTTACAAAAAGGTTCTGCTGTTAGACACATTCTGTGGTAACCAATCCAGCTGGTACTGGCATCATCAAATCATTTCCTTATTTATTTAGTATGGGAAAGCTTAACTTTTATTTGAACAATGCAATACATACTAAATCAACATCTTTAATTTCATGGATTTTGCTTTTAATAACTCTGATCTGATTTAAACAAAATGAATCACTGCTGGAAGTTTAGTGAACACAAATGGTTTACGCTTTCTTTGCCTTTTGAGTAACCCTTTGTTCTGACCATGCCAACTTACTGAACATTGTGAATGGTAGGAGCACAAATGGAGAATTTCTTTGCATAAGGCCTTGAAGCTGTTTAGATTGTGATTCAGCGTGTCTGCTCATATCAGGAGCCTCACTGTGCTGCCACGCCCTGACCCCGCATGTATGTTTGGGTCCCTTGATCCACACTACAGCTTTCTCTATTATCACCATGCCTAACAATAAAGCTGCACTTTTCAGCAATATCCCTCTCAGTATAATATTTATACCACTGTTCCCCAAACCTTTGCGCCATGGCACACCTTTTAAATTGAAAACGGATATCATGGCACACCACCAGCTGAAACTGATACAAACATGAAACTGCAGCCTTTATTAACATCACAAAGTCATTCTCATTAGTGTGTCATGTTTTATATTGAAAATAAAACAAGACAGCAGAGCTCTGGAGAGGCAGACAGGAGGAGGAAAGAAGAACAAGATCTTACATGCATTTATTTTGTTATTTACCAATTAGATGATATATTTCCAAAGACACACTTAACTAACCATGGCACACTGGTTGAAATACTATTTTACGTACAAATATTAAGGTACAATAAGTTATTGTAACTTGACATTTTATTCTAATTTGTACATAACATTAAATGACCAATTGTTCAGTTGCCAATTTTTGAATATTTAAAGTTTTCCCTTACGTTACTTTTTATAACTTTAGAAGGTAAACGCTGAGGTGCTTTTAAATATTGCATTGACATAAGATTCTAAAACAGTTGAGCTTGAACTAAAATCCTAATGCTTTGCTTTTAAACTGTAAACTATTACCATGAGTTTCTCTGGTGCCTTTTTAAATACTACCTCCTGAAGAATTTGTTTTGAGTCAAATGAGATGGCATGTAATTGTTTTTTTTTTTATCTTTTATTTGTGACAGTCGGACAGCAGTCCAGAGACATTCAGGTAGTAGACAGTGACACACACCTCTGTACAAGTGTTTTACATTGAAAAGTTTTACTTTCAGAACAGGATTCATTAAAATAAAAAGGGGTGGTATGCTACAAAATCAATGCGGTTTTGTTGAGCTTCACGTTTTGTCATCACAGAACAAACTTTAAACTCCATACAATGAAGTACTGAAAACACTGCACCAAACTGTTCTAGCCTTTGCAACATACAACATTGATTTTGGCATCAAATTCCCCATAATAGTGCATAATAGTCATTAGAAATCAGTATTTTATTTATATATAAGTACAGAACGGACCAGACCCTGGACAGCATCACAATAGGTTTCATTTACTGCCAAAAACAATACCACAGCTTTGAAAATGGGCTGGAGCGCTAAAACACAAAATGCTTGCAATCTTATTTTATCTACCACACTGAAGCACTGAAAAAACGAATACAATCAGAGCCGACAGTACTCACTAATAAACTCACAGGGCCCACGAAGTTAGCTATCTTAAGATCACAGCAATAGAGGTGGTGATAGCAGCTCTGTGAACCAAGTATTTCTAATGTACCGATTTGGACATTTCCATCAGAATTATTTGATTATCTTAATCAAATACAAGATCTATAATTGCAGTGACTTTCTGACAATGCTCTCACATCTAATTTGATCCAAGTTTAATTGGTCTTTTCTGTGAAGCACATGGGCTTCAGAAGAGAATTAACCATATGACAAGAAAATGTTGGCACAAGAACGTTGACATCTTCATGGCTGTTTAAAATCACTTAAAATTATTTCAATAATTATACAATAAATATATTATAGACTATACATTTATTTCATGCATTCATTTCTTAACATGATTACTTCTTCGTCCCTATTATATTAGCCACAGCTTCCTCTGGTCAGCAGAAAGCGCTGTTCCAACAGCACAAATAGAAGAGCAGGTAAAGCATTCCATGATGTACAGGTTGAGGATAACACTAAATTTATATTTGGCTCTCTTCATTAAGATTAAAAAGCAAAAAATGTGTTGCTGTTTCAACACTATATGAATTTAATGTTTTCTGGTCTGAAAAGTCAAACATACCGTTGCTTTCCTTCACACTAAATATGCATTGACACATTGTTCACGCCACAAAAGAAAATGTCAAACATTTACACATTTTTCCCACTCACACAACCCACCCAAAAATTAGACTTAATTTAAGTTTTTCTGACACACGCATGTAGACCATGTGCGCAAGCTCACACACTACTCCTCACAAAGTACTCCTCAAAAACTAAACACCAGTGATGATTTGACAAAGCCACAAAACACAAACTCTCAGTGCCAACACTGACATTGTTGGCATGGTTACTATCTACATCATGGCCTCTAGTGACACCCTCCCCCTCATCCTATCTCACCAAAGCAAAAAAAAAAGCCCACCCTCGCTCCTCCCAATAATCCAAACACCAGATCAATATGTTTGCAAGTAGACTATTGATTCCACCCCATAATGTATTCTAATTGTGTCTGAAACTGTCCAATAATCAAAATCTGTCTTGCTCCATATTTTACCCCTGCCCACACAGGGATTGTGTATGATTACATAATATTACATAAACAATAAGTAGCACTACTGTCATACTCGGTAATAAGAAATAACAGAGGGCAGTTTGGCAGCTTCTATAACGTAAACATAAAAAACCTGACTTATCCACAACCTTTTTGTTCAAGCCACTATTTCATGACAACACTCAATGTAGGACACTGTCTCAAATGACGACATGAACTCGAAGCACAGTAGTAGTTTGTAACACGTTAAAACCTGGAAAGAGAAGGAAGACTACGAGGGCATTTTAAGACTTGTTTTGTGTGAAGATGAGTTCTATAATTCAGTTTGTATGAACATAAGATGCATGCCTGATATTTGAGACAGTTCCTAGAGTTTAATGACTCCAGAGTAATTGAGCAGCACAGATACATACCGCTGTACATATAACGTGATGTATTGAACTTGGTCACGTTTTTAGATATTTCTCTTTTGACAGCATGTGAGACCTACTACGCAGTCACAGACCGCACAGCATGGCACATTGTTGATGTCTACATGCAAATTCAAGAAATTATTTCATTTGTTGTAGGGATAAACTAGACACTCCCTCGCTTTCAATAGATAATTGTCATATGGTCCTAATTTCTCATTGTTCCGAATCCAATGGATAGTAGTTCAGAAGAAGTCCCTGGTTCAATTTGTTTTGACATGTTGACTTTTTCTTAAAGGTGCAAGGTCTATCAAAAAGTCTAGACATTGTACTTTCATCAAAAGTTTCTGCAATGAAAGGAGACCTGCTTTTCTATGTTTGTTCTCGTTGCTTTAATCAGTTTCGATCATACAGACACTATAATGGATGGGACAAGAGCTTGTTCAGATTGCTGCATCTGAAAGATTGTGCACATGAGGTCTTTGTCTTGAGGTTTACCTTTTGATTTAGTTTTAAGTTATTTCTATTGGCTATGGTTGGCTATATGGGCTGTAGTTCTGAAAAGTTTTGCCTTGAAGTTCTCATGGGCCCAACCTTGTGTCTCATCCCATCCTCACTGGAATGTCAAGGGACGTATAAGAGGCAAGAGAATAAAAGGTCAAACTATGCTCATCAAATTCAACATACAGCATTGCAGACAGCAGGTCTCTTTCAGTAACCTCTGACATACTTGTCTAACCTTAGTAAATTGGCACCTGGTATGTAGGTGCTGCATTGTTCTCACTGAAAGGGGGGCTCTGGTACGTCTCTGTGGTCTCAGTAGTGCCCCCTCCTGGTGAGTTAGAGGGGTACGGCTGGGATGGTGCACCTCCATCCATGTGCTCTGTGGTGAAAAGGGTCATGTCTGTACCCAGAAGGTATTTCTGCACCGCACGAACTGCGAGACCAGCCTACAAGTAAAAAAAAGAATGAATGGGAAAGTGGGTAGATGCATTTTAGAATAATATCTATTTTACACTATAGTTGCTGATACTCCTACCCATGTGATAATTGAGAAAAAAGAGAATGCAATGGCAGCTCTGGCAGCATCTGCTCCTTGGTTTAGTGGCAGCATATCAGGTGTAGTTCGAGACCACTGATTGGCCAGAAAGCAGAAACTTACAAAGTACAAGAAGGTCCAAAAACCTGTAATATTAAAAAAGGCTTTATTAACATATATTGTATGTATATTGGTATGTAATTTTCTACTGTCAAGGCACAGAAAAGAGCAAGCAGGTGTACAGTCAACATCAAACCAGAGTGGACCACCAAAGTGATCCCACTTTTAAAATCTGCATTACTGATGCATGCATTGGCCTTACCTGAAAAGCCAATCTCCAGCATTATAGCCTTTTTCCTGTCTTTGACAGAACTGATGGAGGCAAACTTGTAATCAACGAGGAAGAAGAAGGAACTCGCCAGTAAACCGACCAGGCCCACAAACACTCCGTAGTTACAAGCGTCTGCATTTTTATTGAAGACACAGTGAAGACGCTCACTACCCAAGTTAACATAGCCTTCATTCATAATAGACGCAAACACCACCAAGGAAAATATCTGAAAAGACAAGATCAGAGAGTAAGACCGGGGTGTTTTATAAAATCCCTTTCATTTCAAAACGTTTGTTAGAATAGTCAACATTGTTTCGTGGAATGGACCTGGGACACATTCTTTTAAGGCGTCTCCCTAGAACGCACTCAGATGAAGGCATTAACCTAATTTCTTCTTTTTCTCTGTGATTGAAGAAGTGGATGCTTAACTTCCCCCCAAGAATTCCCCAGACCTGGGGCACTTGGATGTTTTTTCCAACACTACACTGACCAGGCAGTTAGTGAAGTCACACAAGGAGGCTTTTAAAACACTACAAGATTAATCAACTTCCCTCCTTTCCTCCCAGCCCTCCTCAGTGAACACCAGCCTGACACTGGTCAGCTGACTAACTCTCCATGGCAGAATAGGGCCATGTGACACACTCTTACTCAAAAGCACTGGTACATGGGGGATCATATGATGATGCAGGACACACAATGGGATCAAGTCAGACGCAAAGTGTAACCCCATCACGTGTTTCTAATCAGGGGAAACACACAGGTGTTTCAACGTCCACTTCAGGCCAGCAAATTCATGTGTATTGACTGATCTCGTCTGCAGTTTGCATTCTAATTGATCTCAACCTTTATATACACAATGTGTGTGTTTGGGGACCAAATATAGTGCTGTTCCACACTCAGCACATGGCCTGGCCTCCAACAGCTCCACACTACACGCAGATACTGAAGCGTGTCTATAAAAGCTCCGAGGAGAAAGATCTTCCTGTGGCATCCAAAGGTGATGGACTACATCAAACAGCACGACTGCGTGCGTAGCGATAATGACGGACCAATCACAGGTGAGATGACGGACAACGAGCGTTAGGGGTAAATCAGGAAAATCATTAGCTCAAAATAATATGGAAAACTGAACAATAATTGGCAAATTACACATTGAATACGAGAAGGTTCGTGGAAGACCACAAGAATGTCCTAAACATATACATTAAACATGCATTATCTTGACTTGGTTTTACTAAACAGATGTCCGGTATGGTCTATGGCAGAAAAATAAATTGACGACATTGGCAGAGGGGTCGCCCGCTCTAACAACATCTGCTGAAATAGCTTGATGGTCAGTGTCAGATAACAAGTAGGCCTTGGCTACACCCTTCGAATACGCGTACACGTTCATACAAGTATGTAAAATGATAATAAAGACGTGTATTTCTGATGTTTAATGGGGATTTCTCCTTGTTACCTTTGCGGTGCGGAAACGTCACGGGATCTCGCGCTGCGAGCAGCAACAGAGTATCTCCATCCCTACGTGCACGCCCGCCCGCACGCCCGCACACACGGTTACGGTGAAAAGCTGCACTCACCCAAGTCAGCACTCTGAGGATGGTAGTTGGTTGTTTGGCGAAGGCTAAGGGGTCAATGGTGGACCCGGTTCGGCCCGCTCCAAACGATCCCACTCCGTCCATGTTGTCACTTCAGTCGCGTCTCCTCGCGGCTCCACGCTCCCGGTGCACGGCAACGCGCTGCTGTAGAGGGACGGCTCAGCAGGCGCGTGCGTGACAGACGCACGGAGTACCACGCGCTCGAGCCCGTGATGTGATAGGCGACAATACATGTATGGATGGCCAATGCAACAGCCCATCTATGAGTAGGCCAACACATATATTCAAATACAGATAGACTAGGGCTTCGGTGTGAAAACACACAGCATCATAGGTATACACACCAATAACTCATCTAGTTTCACACATTTCTTGCAACAGTTTAATTACATAATTGGTAATTACATCCAGCTCAGTTTTAGCCACTTTAGAAAAGGGCTCTTTAACATATTAACATCATTCAGTATAAAAGTAGACTTTAAAGACACAGCATATGTGCAAATATTTTCAGGTCAGATTGAATAAGCTGTACAATCGTTAAAATACCTATCCATCTAAGTTATAATTATCATTGGGAAGTTGTATTGTGTATGTAGTATATTTCTTCCTGGTCTTATCAATTAATTCTTAATAGGACTTTAATCATCCAACTGTCAGTCACAAGATCCATCCTTCCATCCATCCTTCCACCTTTCGTCCACACGAGAGCAATCAAACTCCGGCTTCCCCAATCGAATGTTGACATCATTATGAAGACGACAGAACCACTGGGACAGAGAGTAGCAGCTTCTGGTATCTGGTTGATTTGTCTTAAGTCTGAAGGTAGAAAAAAATTGTACAAATCAAGAGTTGGAGTATCAATGAAAAAATATGGAACAGGAGTCAGACTATCAGTCCTCAATGAACATACAACTCAGACCAACCTGTCTCTGAGGTCCTCTGCACACTCTTCACATGGGAAGAACTTGGAGAAAAGGTGGATGAAGTGTCCCATGTCTCGTTGCTGTGTGGATGTGGGCTGGTCAGGGTAATATGCAGCCATTGTGTGCAGAAAGGACCAGGTGTTACGACCCAGCTCTTGACGGTCCAGAGGACACTCCAGATCTTGTTTTGGTGGCTCACATTCAATGGCTGAGTTCTGCAACAAACATTTAAATGTTAAAAGCTGATATTAACATAATGTCACTAGCTGATATTTGTTATTTAACAATGCTAGATTTCAGGGTTACTTTAGAATGGCAATTAGTGTATAATTAAAGTGTATTAGGATAGGAATCCTTCTACCAGGTTGTTATGACCTTATGTAGCCCCTGTGTTGTGGTCGTTGCTGTTGCCTCTTTCTGCACTTTCATCCAGCTTTTAAAGTCCGTACATGCTCGGCATGGCTTCTTCTGGCCGCCCACACTCGGCTCTGGCTCTTTACTATTGTCCTTGGGGGGATTTACCGTCATTGGAAACGGGAAACGTTCAAACCCTGGCGGGTTAGAGCCAGTTGAAACCTGCGGTCCTCCTGGCGCAGCCATGTTCGTAACTTACTAAAATAATGCTCGATGTATCACTTAAAAATCCCGGAGATTGCCCACCGCGACTCAAAACTATTTCGAATAAAACAACTAACAACGAGCCTCTCCTATATCACAGGAGAGTCGGTCGTAAGATGACCGCACAGTTTGAACCGTGATGCGGAACCCTCGTTCTGTGGCGTTTGTTTCAGCCGGAGTCTGAGAGGGGTTGACTTCCTGTATGTGACGTCACACTTCGGCGCATGCATCAAGGGGAGCTTCTTCAATGTACTAAATGTCTTTATTATGTACACATTTGACATCGATGGCAATGCTCACATACTATCCGCTACTTCATCTTGAGTTTACTCTCACACTTTTCTGATGTTTGCTGTTTTATATCTGTTACGTTTGTTGTGCCAGTAATGGCAGTAGCTCGATTAGCTATACTGGAAAGTGACACGTTTTTATTTTTCTGCAGAAGTTGTGATTTAACAAGACAGGCAAAATGGGGATCTTAGAGAAAATCTCTGAAATAGAGAAAGAAATTAATCGAACACAAAAAAACAAAGGTAAGGGAATCTTACGTTGCGCATTTATTATGAGCCTTTCATCCACATTTGTACTCGCTATTATTAAATTAATGTATCAATATTTGCGGTTATTTCGCTAAGTAATATGTTTATTTTTATTTTACTTCACCATCAGCCACTGAATACCATCTGGGTTTACTCAAAGCCAAACTTGCCAAGTACAGATCTCAGCTTCTTGAACCCTCCAAGTCAGCTGGAGCAAAAGGTGAAGGCTTTGATGTTATGAAATCTGGAGATGCTCGTGTCGCTCTCATTGGTTTTCCGTCTGTGGGTAAAGTATGTACAATGCACATAGCAAATTATTTTCTGGTGATTGTTTTTGACTGAATTTACATGTTGCATCACAGTCCACCTTTCTCAGTCTGATGACTTCTACCGCCAGTGAAGCTGCCTCTTATGAGTTTACAACCCTCACATGTATACCTGGTGTTATAGAGGTACATAAACAAATCTTTGACTGTGTTTCCAAATTCATTTTTACATACAATGTAATGCTCTTTCTTTTCAGTACAAAGGCGCCAATATTCAGTTACTTGATTTACCAGGAATTATTGAAGGAGCTGCTCAAGGTACAGCCGTAGTATTGTATGGCAGAAACCCCTAGTCAATATTTTCTATAATAATGATTTATTTTCTAGGAAAGGGAAGAGGTAGACAAGTCATTGCTGTTGCCAGAACTGCAGATGTTGTCATAATGATGTTGGATGCTACTAAAGGAGATGTCCAGAGGTACCTCAGTATACTTAAATAAGTTCAAACCAATTAATTGAGTTTATATTTGACTCTATTTTCTATTTTACAGAGAACTATTAGAGAAGGAATTGGAGTCTGTGGGCATCAGGCTGAATATGTCAAAACCAAACATATATTTCAAGGTAGTTATACTCCGTTATTTTACTCACCTGTATTCAATATGTTGACTTGTCCCTGGATTCTAAACAATAAATTACTTTTTAAAGCAAAAGAAAGGTGGCGGCCTGTCGTACAACTCAACAGTTCCTCTCACTCACTGCTCAGAGAAGCTGGTTCAACTCATCCTTCACGAATACAGTATCCTTGTAGATGTCTTTAGAATGTCAATTACTGCTTGATACTTTGGACCTTCCTTAACTTTTTGTTACAGAAATATTTAATGCTGAAGTCCTGTTCAGGGAGGACAGCACACCAGATGAATTCATTGATGTCATTGTGGGGAACAGAGTCTACATGCCATGCCTATATGTAAGAGATCATTTCCTTTTAAACTGTATTGCAACTGTAATACATTTTGTTTTTCAGGTGTACAATAAAGTGGATCAGATTTCAATTGAAGAGGTGGACCGTCTTGCTCATAGACCCAACAGTGTAGTCATTAGGTCACTATAAAATATAAACTATAAATGCTTTCTCCTATTATCTATTACTCTTTCTCTCCTCACATTTATGTTGATACGATATTGATTGTTTTAGCTGTGGGATGAAATTGAACTTGGATTACCTTCTGGAGACGTTGTGGGAATACCTTGCTCTCATTTGTATCTACACCAAGAAGAGAGGAGGTCTGCAGCTGTGATTTATAGTTTTATAGTCATCTAAAACGTTTAATATGCTTTTTAAATATTATCTCACTCTTTAATAGAGAGGCCAGACTTTAATGACGCCATCATTATGAGAAGAGGAGCATCTGTCGAGCACGTGGTCAGTAGACACTTAAGCTACGATAATACTGTTAATAAAAAAACAATATTTGATGGTTGAAGGTTTTTTTTTCTGTTTAAAAACAGTGCCATCGAATCCACAGAACCTTAGCCAGTCAGTTTAAATATGCCTTGGTTTGGGTAAGTCATGTTGTGTCATACATTATAGAAATCATTTTGACAATAAAGCGCTATTAAGAGCAGACAAATTTAATGTAAAAAGTTAATTATATCTTCATGTAAGACTTGGAAGGTTCTTTTAATAAGACAAAGAGTGTAGAGAATTGTATCTGACATGTTTTGGTGGTAGACTTCTGCATTCTACCGCCAAAACATCTCCTGTAACTATGCAGTACGAGCTTCTTTGTCTCTTTGTCTTATTCAAAAAACCTTATAAGCCTTAAATCCAGAGCCACTTCTATTTCCATCACAACTAACAACAATGTTTAAATGTAGTACATGCTAAATATTATCAACTATAAAAACAAGTTCATTTTATTGACATTTTATTGTGGCGTTTTTAGGGAACCAGTACCAAATACAGTCCTCAGAGAGTGGGTCTAACACACATCATGGAGCATGAAGACGTCATCCAGATTGTGAAGAAATAAAATGTACCTTTTACCTTTTTGAGCAAGGAACTCAAGAGGATAGACTAAAATCTATTGCTACTTTATATAATTTACTTTGGGCATTTGGACCGGATATTGTTTTTTATAGATGCAATATTCTCCTCTATAATCTTGAACCATGGACAAACTGTCTGTGTTCCATTCTCAGAACCCTAACGGCAAATATTGAAATCCGGGGGGTTCTTTAAAAATAATAAAATAATAATAAAACCAAAACATGTCTATTGATTTTTGTTTACACATTAGGCTATATCACTAGCGGACACTGACTGGATAAGGGAGAAATAAATAACACAAGATTCATTCCCTGTGTATTGGGAGTAGTAGCCTGTTACAAAACTTGCGCAATCTGAGTGTTATCGATCTTGTCCGTTTCTCGCTATTGGTATTAATGTGTGTGTTTGTGATTTATTGTTTGTATATCACGTGCATGTTTCAAATAAAAACTTTGCATCAGCCTACCTTTTAGGATTCTATACTAACAAATTAAATTGTTTTACCGCAGTTTATTCCAAGACTGCACGATCTTTTTAACTCCCTGACCCCCATCATTCTCCTCTGACCTCCAGTTCTTTCTCCTGTGTGACCTGAAGCTAGTCGGATCACTTTATTACGCTCACCATTCACCCACACATGCCCACGCGCACAATAGTCTCATTAAATATTGACGGGCATCTCTTTGGCCTGGGAGAGTGGGACAGAGTACAAGGCTGGTAGGAGAGAGTGACCGTTGCAGAGGCTTTAAAGATGACCTAAAGATGTCTGACCAGAGCGCAAGCTAGATGGAGAGCTTCTGCTATGGGATCACCTGAAGAGGACCGAAGCTACAGCGGTGAAGGTATAAACCTCGCTGTAAATTGAAAAGGCTTTGACACTTGATGCTGCTTGGCGCCATATGGAGGAGTCGAGGTCGCGTGTGTTACTGCACACGCTGCTTTTGTGTTAATTAACTAGCTAATTTGTGACAATGTATTTTAATGAAAGTACAACATATTTTTGACGCTTTTATTTTTGGTAGTACCCAGTACCTTACAATGTCCTCTTTTGTTACTTGCATTAGTACATTATCTTGGTTACAACATAAAAAATATCACATGTATATTTAGTATGGTAATTGTGAATACAATGGCTAAAGTAATGTCTTATTTAGTTTACTTTTGATTGTTTGAGCATTTAGTTAACAGAGATCAGTCTATCAATATTGTTATTGTTGTGTCCAACTGCATTTATGGCCTTTTATACTTACCAAAGCACAAGAGATATGACCGCACATATTTCATCAACATAAAGGTCCATCTGGTGCAAACATGTAAATGAGGAAGGATATTTTCTCTTTTGACGAAAGCGGTCGACTTTTGCGGGATGTCTGTAGTTAGGTAATGAAAAGAGATGTTACATGTGTACTCGCACATAATACGGGTTCAAAGCCAAAGATTTGTTGTCGTCTTTGAATTTACGACACTGTTCTGTGTATGAAATTTAATCCACAGCAAGTGAAACTGAGAAGTGTAGTTGTACCACTAAGTGATCGTTTTTTATAAATTATTTCAAGTCTTTTAATCGTTTGTGTGCTAGAGGACACGTGTTTGACATAGCACCAACATCAACAAAATTATCATTTGTTTGTTTCGAAGCCATCCTTAGTTATTTTGCACGATTTTGTACTTTGATGAAGATAGTTCAAGACCAGAATGTTACTTTCCCTTTACTCCTCCCCTGGTCATCATCCACACATGTGTCTTGCCAAGGGCACGATGGCTGTCAGAGCTGATGGTTTGATACCAGGTATTGACACGATTTATGATTTCCTATTGAGGATTTGTATAAAACAGGTTGCAAAAGTTTGTGTGTACTTAAGTAATAGACAATAGGACAATAATACTATTCAAGCATTTGAAACACTGAAACAACATATTACTGTAGTAATGTTTGATACAGGCAGTGAATATAACAATAAATGTAGACTGCATTATTACATGGGATACTAAATATTCTGATACATTTTTACAGCTGTGCGCCAATTATCAACATAACAAAGGCGTAATATGGCATACTCACTACCTTTAGTGAGGGGCTGGTGCTCTGTAAGTAAGTAAGTAAGTAAGTAAGCTTTATTTATATACCGCCTTTCACAGACCAGAGTCACAAAGCGGTTTACAATTGTTATATTTTTTTTTTATTTTTTTTTTTGGGCACTTGTCCTCTCACTCCACACAGAGATGGGAGCGGGGTCGCCGAACAGGAGGCGCATGCCAGACCTATTGTACATATTTTTAGTGGTAGGGGAAACCGGAGTACCCGGAGGAAACCTACGCAGACACAGGGAGAACATGCAAACTCCACTCAGAAAGGTCCTGGTCCGGCCGGGATTCGAACCCAGGACCTTCTTGCTGAGAGGCGAGAGTGCTATCCACTCAGCCACCGTGCCGCCCTGTGTACTGGGTGTAGCTCTGACTAATAGACTCATGTACAGTATATCATCATATACTAATTTCACATTTAAGTGAAATGAGTTATTCACTTAAATTTCACAAATTAGTATATGAGACTCTAATAAGTTTACATTTATAAGTTATACATTTACATAAGTAATCCTTGTGGATTTCACTGTCCAAGTTTTCTCACAACTCTCACAACCCATGCTCCAGCCTCATTTTCTTTGTCTCCTCTGCCCTCTAGTGACAATATATGCTCACTACACTACATGTGTAATGTAAATTAAAAGAGGATTTGATAAGAGTGTAGTGTAAATGAAAAAAATATATATTCTTTTTTCATGTATTTCTCATTATTTAATTGAGTTTGGATATTCTTCTCTGGTGGTGATGTTTCTGATTAAATGATTACATATATGCTAATGTGAGATTTCATAACACTTTTAAGCAACTTTTGTTAAAGTTAAACTCATCATTCTATCAATGTGCAGAAGCCAATACTTTTCCCTTGTTTTGTCTATCTGAAGGCCAAGCTACATGGCACCGTGGAAGCTGCTGATTGGAGGTCTCCATGCCTCCGCTCTGTATAATACACTTGCATTCTGTTGTTCGTGCTGTCTCTACCATCGATAATAAAAACAGACAGAATGTCTTCTGTCTGAATTAAAGACGCGATCCCAGACATGTCATCTTCTTCAGGTGGTGGAAGGATGCGGGCCTTGTCTGTAACATCTACACAAAAAGTGTTTTTTTTTTTTTCAAGCCAAAACTGAGAAACCTCAAGAGAATGCATCTGGATCAGCACACATGGACAATCTGCACAGCCCCTGATTCCAGTCAGGCTGTGAGCTGCTGAGACATGGACAATACCATCGTCCTCTTTTGCATGGAAATCATTTGGAACCATTGGATTAAACAATTTGGACATAATTTGGAACAATTGGATTTCTGAATTTGGACATAATTTGGACTGAATTGAATTGCTGAATCTGGACACTAAAGCTGAAATGTGTGATTGAAAGACACGTCACAGAAGAATTCATGGCTAGACACAAATGCAGCCTGAAGAAACCAACACGGAGAGGTGGGGGAGACTGTTTTCAAAGCAATATCTGGAACCACCATTGACTGATGAAGTTTGGTATTTTACTGAAGATTGTTGACAAGTTTTATGAAAGATCTGAACATGTTTGACTTCCGGCGAGGCGCGAAGCAAGATGGCGGCACGGCGTTGAGCTCCGACTGAAACCCCCCTAATATGGTTAATTTTGGAAACCTCAAGGACTTAAATTGCTACTACTGAGTGTGTACGTCAATCCCAAAGTAAGATGACATCAAAAAAACTTGAAAAAACAACCAAAAAGCAGGAAACCACTGGTTGCGAACGTATTGAGTTTGCGGAGCTAGCAACACTGGTCAAACAAGCATTAGCCACGGAGATGACAACTTTGCAGACCACGATGATAGGCATGATCAAAGACGCAGTTAAAGACGCTATGATACCCGTGCAGAAAAGTGTATCAGACATAGAAATCACTTTGAGAACAATGACTGAACACATGGCCTCACATGACAAAAAGTTTGACACGGTGTTTAACAAGATGGAGACCATCCAAGCTAACCAGAGGAAAAACGAAACCGAAACTGCACGTTGCCTGAAAGAACTTGCAAAGTTACGAGAAGACTTGGTCGGGCAAGAAGATCGTAGCAGACGTAACAATGTACGTCTGGGAAACTTACCCCCAGGAGTGGAGGGAGATGACCCGCTTGGATATATCCAGAAAATGCTGCCAAAGTGGATCCCCGCGCTCAGCGGTAGATCTCCCATTGAAATAGACCGGGCTCACCGTATCAGTTCCAACGAGAAGTTCCAAAGCCCCACGGGTCATGATTTTTCGTCTCCTGCGTTACACAGACCGGCAGGCCATCCTGGACGGGGCGAGGAAGAGCAGACCAACACTTCAGGACGGGACCCCGCTGTGGTTTTCCCCGGACTACAGCATCACGACGAGTCAACGGAGGCAGGCGTATAATGAAGTCCGGGCTAAGCTTCGCAAAAAGGGGATCAACACGTTTCTGATTTATCCAGCAATCCTGAAGGTGAATCATAATGGTCAACGCTGGTCCTTCAACACTCCTGATGAAGCCAAAGAGACGCTGACTACGCTGCTTGAGGAGACCAGCGAGGACCCGGTTACAGCTGACTCTCAATGATGCGCCAGGTTTGAAAACATGACTGTACTGCTCGTTTGATCTCTACGGTTTCTGGTTGTAAAAGTTATTGAAATGTAGCTTGTTTAACAATATTACCTGAGCAAGGTGTATTTTATTTCTTTTGATATCAGGTTAAAGTTTTGCACACTGTTTCTGGTTGACGTTGAATACATAAGAGGTTTTTGTTTATGTTGTAAAGGAATAAGGGGGCGGGGCCGCGGGTGCAACATTGCTGAGTGACGCTCACGGAGCAAGAAGACAACATCGAGGGAGGAGGGGGGAGCGGGGAGAGGAGGGAGGAGGAGGCAAAGGGAAGAGGGTACGGGGTAGGGAGGGAGAGGGTGGGAACCACTACCAATGTTAAATCTTTACAGAACCATACCACTGAAGCTCTGAAACCAAAAAGTTTAAATGTTTTATCTTTTAATGTGAAAGGCTTGAATTCTGCTTACAAAAGATCAAAAATCTTAGATTTTCTTAACAGGAAAAAAGTAGATATCGCCATTTTGCAGGAGACCCGTTTGAGGCCCAAAGATGTTCCTAGGATGCAAAATAGATTGTACAAACCTGTGTCATGGTCCTCGGATGGCTCTTGTACAAAGGGTGTATTAATAATTATGAAACGTAATTTAAATGTGTCTGTGGAGAAAACTGGCTCTGACGGCGCTGGTAGAATGGCATTTTGTGGCGTATCGATTCAGGGCAAAAAAATAGCATTTGTTAGTTTATATGCACCAAATACATTTGAAAATGACTTCTTTCCATCAATCACAAAGCAACTTCTTAAACTCACTGAATACCAACTGTATGTGGGCTCTGATATGAATGCACAGATTGATGTAGATCTTGACAAATCAACACCAGTTTTTTCAGGGAGTCAAGATGCAGCCTCTAGAGCTCTCAATCTCTTCCTATCAGATTTAAATATTAAGGATATATGGAGGATTCACAACCCAGCAATAAAGGATTACACATTTTATTCAACCCGACATAAAACATTTACTCGTATTGATTATATCCTGGTATCATCTAATCTGGTCCCTCTTGTCAATTCAACAGAAATTTTACCAAGATACATATCCGACCATAACCCAGTCATGACAACTTTTACTTACAGTTCTATGAAAAATAAAAACAGTAGGTGGAGGTTTAACACAACCCTTCTTGGATGTGAGGATTTTTTGAAATTAATCAGAAAACAACTAACCGAGTTTATATCTTTGAACAAAGATTCTATTAAAGATAAGACAATAATTTGGGCATCAATTAAGGGATGTATTCGTAATGTAGCAATACAGTTTAGCACAAATATGCATAGAAATAAACTACAAAAAATATCAAATTTAGAAAATGAATGCAAGAACTTGGAGAGTGACCTCAAAAACAATTATACAATGTCTAAAGAAAATGCGCTTAAATCAAAACAAGCTGAGCTTTGTGACCTGCTGAGAAACAGAGTTCAGTACATGATGAAGGCAACACGTTCCAAATATTACTCTGAGGGGAGCAAACCAAGTCATCTTCTTTCTCTAACACTAAAACAAGAGGAGGCCAGAAAGTCTATCCCAGCCATTAGATGTGCAGAACGTGGCATACTAACCTCTACAGAGGACATAAATAAAACATTCAAAGACTACTTTGAAAAATTATACACAAGTGAGAAGACCCCATCTGATAATGATTTGGATAATTTTTTTACTGGCCTGAATCTTCCTAATTTATCAACAGAGGATGCAAAAAATGTAGACTCTCCAATAACACTTGTGGAATTACTCAGAGCTGTCAAAGGCTCAAGGAAGGGCCGTACTCCGGGAATTGATGGTATCCCAGTTGAATTATACCTAAAACTCTGGGATATACTTGGACCAGTTTGGCTTGAGGCGATAAACTACGCTATTCATTTTGGCTCATTTCATAGAGATCTCAATACTGCCCTCGTTACTGTAATACCAAAACCTGGTAAAGACCATCTGGATTGTGCCAATCACAGACCAATATCATTAATTAATGCGGATATAAAGATCTTCTCCAAATGTTTAACAAATAGATTGGAATTGGTAATAGGAAAAATAATCAACTCAGACCAAACTGGTTTTCTGAAAGGTCGCCACTCCTCCGACAATATTCGTAGACTTCTGCATGTACTCAGCTCATCCCATAAAATTCCACCATCTTGTGCCTTATTATTTTTGGATGCAGAAAAGGCGTTTGATCGCCTCGAGTGGAGATATTTGTGGAGAGTTCTAAAAGAATTTAAATTTGGGGAAAAATTTATCGCTATGATGCAAACATTATACTCAAATCCAACAGCAAGAATGTGTGTGGGAGGCGGATTCTCTGAGATTTTTCAAATCGGGAGGGGAAGTCGTCAAGGAGACCCATTGTCACCTTTGGCATTTAATTTATGCATGGAACCGCTGGCACAACTAATAAGAAACTGCTCACAAATACATAGTTCCCACAGACCAATGAATGTCACAAGACCTCCTCGGAGACGCCATCTTTGATGGCACGCTGCTGTGTTTGTGCATTCCAATAAACAGAAGAATGAGAATAAATGTAGATATTCAAACGCAAATTGGAAAAAAAGGGCAACTTTTGAGCAAATAATTGTATATTAATACAATGGCACCACAGTTTAACGTGCTACGGACATGTTTTACATATTTGATCAAATTATGCAGCAAAAATTAACAAGCAATGCAAACATTTCTCAAAAACTTTAGATTTAATACCAGTTGGAGCTCCATTTAATTATTTTAATTATATTAACAATTAATTTAATTAATGCTAATGCCACACGGACACTCTGGATTGCTGTTATTGTTTATTTCCGCGTTTTTGACCGTATGTTTTGGTGAATGGTGGGCAACTGATTTTTCCAGGCGTAAAGAGCAGTTTATTTTATGACACAGATCTTTTTACAGAAGCAATGCTGTTTGTGAACATTGTTTTAGCCCACCATAGAACTATTATTATCTATTTAATACATTTACGTTGCCCTCGAGAGCCTCGGACGCGACACCGATCCTCCTCATAATAAAGTAATCCAACGCTAAATAATGAAACTCTCAAGTTACCAGATATCAGCATACACAAGTTAGTACTGAGTAAATTACGTCTGTCAACACATTATGAGATACGATACACACCTGACACAAAGTGCTCCGAGCATATTCTTGCGTGTTTTGAGGGAGTTTCTTGCCTGTTTATCTTCGCAAGCCATAACCTCCGTCGTTGTTCTGACAAAAGCTTAGTCTTCTCACATTCATGAAGTCTAATGATGGGTATACTGTAAAATCCAAGTTTAACAGAACCTCCGGCACGATTTGAACATCCATTGACCCAGCAGGAGATGACCATTTTCAACTTTATCACGACATTAACACGTTTCAGCTTCTTTTTCTATTGTTTTGCCCACAGAATGCCAACACAAATGGCGCCGGGTCGGCAAATCCCCGTATCTAGTGACGTCATGTAGGAACTATGTATATCCCCCATTACAGTTGGATCATCAAAACACTCTATATCATTATATGCTGATGACACTTTGATTTACATGGCAGATGTTCAACAGTCACTTCCTCATGTTCTGGAAAAATTGGAACAGTTTGGATATCTTTCAGGGTATAAGGTTAACCTGTCTAAAACAGCTTTGATGTTAATTAATACTGACGAACACAAAGTGTCTTTGCCACCACAGATACAAATAGTGAAAGAAGTTACTTATTTGGGCATTCAGATTTGTAATAATGTATCAATGATAGCCAAGAACAACTATTTGTCTGTTCTAAAGAACATTGAAGAAGATACTAATAGGTGGGCACATCTCCCAGCATCATTTCCAGCTAGAATAGCAGTTGTTAAAATGAATATATTACCCAGAATAAACTTTGTGAGCTCTATGATTCCCTTGCCGCCCCCTACTGGTTATTGGTGCAAACTAGACTCCACACTAAGGAAATATATTTGGAATGGCAAGCGCTCAGCGGTTAAATGGTCAGTGCTACAGATGAAAAGATCTGATGGTGGATGTGCCCTACCTAACTTCAAGTTCTATCATTGGGCTTTTATATTGAGGGGATTATCCTATTGGCTGGACGATAGCAAAACATCTTCATGGAAATGTATTGAGCAAGAATTAATAGAACCATATAGATTAAAGGATTTTTTATTTCTTGGAATTTCAACTAAGAAAAGTAATTTGAATTATGGGCCACTATTGACATATATGTTAGTGATATTTCGAGCTGTTGAGAAATATTTAAAATGTACACAACGTTGGTATAAATCATCACCACTATGGAATAATAGACTGCTTTTATCAGGTGGAAAGCCATTTTCAAACCGAGACTGGGATTTTAAGGGAATTAGAGTCCTACAGGACATTAATGGATGTGAATCTAAACTGAGTTTCCAAGAATTAGTTGCTAAATATAATGTTGATCAGCATTCTCTGTTCTTTTATTTCAGGATAAGATCTGCGTGTAAAACCTATGGTGTCCCATGGGGATCAGAGCTAAAGGAACACCCCATCTCTAAAATATTACGACAAGCCCCCAAAAGAATAGTGTCATTTTTGTATGACAAACTTTTAACTCAGAACGATGTACTTTCAGCGGGAATGAAAACATGGGATGAGGAATTTGTAACTTCTTCTTTCAACCTGAATTGGGATAGAACTTGGCGTAATGTAAACAGAGGGAGGGAGGGAGGGAGGTTTAAAACAAAAAAGAATTTTGTACATCAATGTTGTTGTTTGAATGTAATTTGAAAATTCTTCAATAAAAATTTGATAACAAAAAAAAAGATCTGAACATGTTTTATGAGTTTTTGAAGTATTCCGAGTTCTGAGTTTTTTGAAGTACCGAGTGAAGTACAGAGTTTATGAGTTTAAGTATTGAGTGATGATGTTATGTTGCTGTTTATCGATCCTGATGGTCACACGTGAATGTGTGACCAGAGGGGGGAATGTGAGATTTCATAACACTTTTAAGCAA